GAAAGGCATCTTTAAAGTGTGGAAATAATGTACAAATCCCACCACGAATTCTCGGGAATTATTGGTACGATCTGCTATTGACCGCACGTTTTGTGTCCTCTGCAGGACTCTCTGCTCCACTAAGCCCCTTTTGGCCTGGTCTCTGCTCCTCCTGCACCAGCCCTCGCTCGTGTCTTGCGGTGCTTCTTCTTCTCTGTGGCAGCAGGCACACGGGGCGCATGAGTAATCTGGGGGCAGCTTGTGCTTTGCATTTCCCTACCCCTTGTACCGAGATTCCACTACGCTTGCTGCATCCTTTTAATACCCTTTCCAAGGGGGCTATATGCGCGATTTTTGGGTCTTCGAATAGAGCTTTCCCTAAAACAAAAATGATCGGTGATAAGACGCGATAAACGATGAACAAATCGTCCGCCCTTAGATTCTACAAATAATTATCGACAATTCCATTGAAATCGTAGGAGTATCTATCTATATAGAAGCCATAAAACAATCCTGACACCCCGTTCTTTCTGAAGATGACCCTGAAACCTCGTTCTTCCCAGGAAAATCGATAACTATCAAATATAATCGATTGCACTTGTACTTGTCTCCATTTATCAGAGAAAAATTCTTTCATTGACCCAAAAAAAGCAATAATTATTCGATATTTCATTGTTGTCCACTAGCATTGAATGCCGATATCGAAACCATCGTTTGACAGCTTTATCGCTTCGATAAAAAAATCGATAGTCGATTGTAGAGGGTATCAAAAGCTTCGGTGCCTAGTTGCAGGCTTTTACGAGGTTGCACAATGTGTGTGTGTGTCGTCTGAGGGTGTCCATGTGTGTCCTGCCTTCGTGTGTGTGTTTTTTTTTGTTGGGTGTATTTTTGGTATTTATTTTTGGTATTATTATTGCATATTTTTGTGTCGCTTGCTTCCCTCTTCCACCCTCTTCTTGTTTTTTTTTTTTTCTCGCGCTTTACGTTAATGCGAAATTTATGCTTCATGCACTTTTAGTTCTGCTCCTGCCTCTGCTTCTCCTTCTGTGTCCCTCCCGCCCTCGGTTCCTCTTCTGCTTTTTTGCGTCGAAGGATTTTTGTATGCGAAAATATTTTCTCTGGCATTTTCGGATGGCGAAAAATGGGAGCACCAGCAGGTGTACGTGTGTGGGCGTGGGGCGTGGGGGCGTGGGGTCGTGGGTGTGGCACATATTGATATTGACCGAAAAGTGTCATCAATAGCACCCACACACACACCCGTAGACGGTGGGTCTCCAAAGAGAAAGAAAGATGAAGAAAAATAGATAAACAAATACATAAATAAAGAGTGCTGCCACAGGGGGAGGGGGAAGGGGGTGGTGGAGGGGTGTACAAAGTGCAACAAGGGCTGAAGAAAGGATAACAAGGAGCAGACCGAAATTTATGCGGCTAATGACGGGGCGTATGAGTAACGACCAAAAAAACACAAACATTTCCAAAGACCAAAGGAAGGGCCACAGAAAGGCCACAAATTTACCCGCTAGATTGTGCCAAAAACAACCCTGGAATTACCTAAAATTTCAATGCATATTCCAAAATATATTTCCTTGATATTTCGATTGAAAAACTTATAAAATTCCCAGTCTAACGTAATATTATATTAAAAATAATTTTCTTTGTGAGGAGGCTTGACAGGACTTTGCTTTCGCTCCCCCCTCCCTCCCTCTCTCTCTCTCTCTCCTTCTCTGTTTCTCTTGCAATTCCTTTCATCCTCTCAATAAGCGAGTATTTGCATCGCTTTCAATCGGCTTTTGGTTATAATTTTTTCGCCCATTTTTCCCCCACTTTTTAATACAAAAGTACCGTTCCGTTTGGTTCCTTTCAGAGCAGTCCCCCCCCCCCTCCCCTTGCGTCTGGGTTTTATGCCGATTCTCTCGATCAGGGCCAGATGCATGCGGCATGCCACAAGCGCTTCAAATGTGTATCAAAAAGCGGAGCTTAAGAAATATAGAAATAGAAATAGATTAAAAAATGTCCTTAAAGCCCAACAGTCGACAAACCAAGCCATATTTGTGTGTTTATTAACCCCACTGCCTTTGTCTGCCATCCTAATGCGGGGAGCAGGGGAGCAGGGGGGGGGGGGGGCAGGCTTCAGCAGCCTGTGAAATCCTTTTAATGCCATAAACGGGTTAAGCATTTTGGTGACGTGCATGTGAACACATAGCAAAAGCAGCAAATGTCCATCCTTCCTGCCTTCCGTTCTTCCGTCCGGCTTTCCTTTTGGCAGGACATGTCCGGAAGGAAATTGTCTGGGTTTTTATCAGTTTTCTGGCCGGTAAGGCTGCTGCTGTCGCTTTAAAGCTGGCATTTTCGTTTATGACTGGGACGCGCGTGACAGCCCCCCCCCCCCCACCCAAAAAACACAGAAACGGCTGGAAAACCCACCAGGCCCGCCCCCACCCCCGCCTCCATCTGCTGCACCATTTGTTTTAGTGAAAAGAAACTGCCAGACAGAGAGAGAGCGACTGTGTGGCAGACAGTTTTACCGAAGCATTTGCTTAAATTAATTTCGCCTGCCTGAACGGCTCCCACTTGAATGGCTCCAGCGTCCAGCGCGTACACTGCAAGAAAGGACCCACCGGAAGAGGGAGAGCGGGAGATCGCCAAACCACTTTGATTTCTCTCAGTGAGGCACCTCCCCCTTACTCCCGGCCACCCTCTTTCCGCTTCAGTTGAGGCCACCGTCTGCCTCCTGCACGTCCTCCACGTGGCGGGCGTTTGCTGTTTTCTGAAAAATTTGCAATTAATCAACTTAACGGCTACGCTGGCTACCCCACCCCGCTCTCCACCGCCCACTCCTTCGCAGCTGTTTCCCCTGTCTTGAATCGTTCTCATGTGTCGATCCAAAGGGGCGACAATTGTTGGGGGGGGGGAGCTTCTTCCAACTTCTAAGCCCGCCAACACACCACTGAATATTTCGTTATATTTTTCCAGAATTTTTTTCAAACCAAAAACCGATTTTGGGGGCTTTTCTTTTGTGGGGATTATTCAATTTCTGGCCAAAGAGACACACGATGACTGGACTATTAGTGTTGGACAATGATGGAAAGAGCTTCGAGAGAGCACCAAAGAGAAAGAGCACAGAGTCGAGAGCCAAGAGAAATGGAGGAAAAACGGATACCAAAAAGGACTGACGGAAAACGAAGTAACGAAAGGAACAAGATAGAAGTCCTTTGATTTAGTTGGCAATAGGAAAAATTGAAACAACTTTTTGTGACAGCCATCAACGGACTTCCTTCCAGCCGAAAACGTTGCACTTTTGGGTCGAGGGTGTGGGGGGGGGGGGGAGGTCCTGGTGGCCACTCTGATGGTCAACACAATCAGGATGCAGTCATCGCCAGTTGGCACTCCATTCCTCACCTTTTGCCCCGGTAGATCCGCTCCTCCTCTCTCTCCCGGTGGACTGACATAACTCCAAATGCACTTGCTGACAGGCATTGAAAACACACCACAAACTGTAGATTATGCCACTGCCACTGCCACTGCCAGTGTGTCCGCCCTCCGCACAAAATATGTACATAGGTAAAAAATAGAAAGGAAAATATACTCGAAGGGGGTGGAGCATCAGCCGCAAAAGGTAAAGGCAAAATTATCTAACAAAATGCTGTCCGACGAACATCGAGGAAAACATCGTCAGGCCCCCTCCCCCACCCACACACCCCCCCCCCCCCCCCCCCCCCGTCTCTTTCCAGCTTCAATGCTGAAAATATTTCAACCGAAAATACGTTCAAAAAGCTCTGCCTTCCCTTCGCCTTGGGAAACCACACAAAACGAACAACAACACAGGCAGAGAGAACGAGAAAGAACGAGAGAAAAAGAGGTCCCACACATTTATGTGCTCTGCTGCTTCGATTACTCGGGCTCGGGTCCACGAACGCATCGAAAGCGACCGATCAGCAGCCGCAGGTAGAAGCCAATGTTAATTGCAAAAACAATATTTTGCCCTGCAGCGCGCGCTCTCTCTCTCTCACTATTCGGCTTCGGTCGAAGTGAAGCAACAACAATTTCGCTTGCACATTCGTGTGTGGGTGATAACGAGGGACGATGCTTTACAGGCGTTGTTTTTGCTCTCTCTCTCTCTGTCTCTTCTACATATACCCAGCCGCCTGGCTGCTGCTGCCGAAGAAGTCGTTCGTTTCCGATCGCCTGAGAAGTCGAGGTCGGGCCCTAATTCCTGCTGCTGCCGCCGCTCTCCCTCTGGCAAGAGAAATCAAGAGTTTTTATTGGAAAATACTGTGTACTGTAGGGTTTTTACTTTTTCAGTTTTTCCTGCAGTTTCGCTCTCCCTGTCTCTCTCTGTTTAATAAAGACCGCATTGTTTTGCTGCGGCTGCTTCCGACGCCAAAAAATGCACTCTCGCTCTCATTTTCTCGGTTTTTTTCGGCCTGCCACACACACACACACAGACGGAGAAATGAGCAGCAGCCAAAATGCCGCAAGCGATAGGAATGCAGAGTCCGAAGCATTTGATACCCTCAAAAACCACTCGAAGGTCTCATTGAATTTCAAGGAAGGGACGGCCTTTTGAAAGGGTATCAAAATGTTGAGGCAGAGGCGTTGGTTCGCTCTGCATTTAAACAAATTTAACCAAACTTTTTTTTGCGGCCGGCGGCAGTCAGCTGTGAGAACAGACCAGGGCTGGTCTGGAACAGAAATGGCCCAGCCCTGCAGAAACGTTACATCGTTACACGAAAATAAATCAAAAACCAATCTTTTACCACTTAAAAATACTGTCGCGTATGGAAATAATTGCGCTGAAAGATCTCAAAATTAAAGCGACAAAGATCCAAAAAAAAAAAAAAAAAACCAAAAAATACCAAGCGACTACATCGATATCAAGATATCGATATAGAAAGATACCAAAGGCTTTGCTGTCACATCAAATGCAGCCCTGACAAGAGCGGCCATTTTATTTCAATCAGTGTCGTGACATTGTGGAATTTCAGAGCTTGCGGAAAAATCCAGAGAAATCCATTGGAAAAGCGATAAATCTTTGACAAATACAAGTGAGAAAATAAGTAAAATTCGCATTTCGATGCTTTGGTAAATGCATTTTGAATTTTTCCCCAGCAGATATTGATATTTTGTCGGGGCCATGTCGCGCAAGCGGATGAAGAAATTGGCCAAGATTTTGAGTGTCTTGGATCCAGTGAAACCCATTAAGCCCGATGATTATGATACTTGTGGCTTGGTCCAGGCCAAGATCCCTCAAAATGTTGCCTGTGGGGCAGAGAAGGGGCCTCCGAAGGTGCGTCGGAAGGTGCAGAAGCCACAGAGTTGTGCCACCGCCACCGCCACCGCCACCGCTGCCTGCCAGGCGGCACCGAAAGTGCGTGCCCCGCCGATCGCCAAAGTGCAAGTGCAACAGCAGAAGGAGTCGTGCTCCATCGGGGCTCCAAAATTGTGCACCCTCTCGATCAGAAGCAAGGTGCAGCAGAAGCAGCAGAAGCTGCAGAAGCTTCAGTCGAATGGCGGTAAGCAACACTCGTCGAGGAGCACCGATAATGAGGCGTACGTACCGCTGGATTACTATCCAGTGCCGGTTAATGCCACCGCCGATGCCGTGCCGATGAAGAAGGCCAAGAAGAAGCCGCGCAAGCGCTTTCGCGTCCGCAACAAGATGTACAGTGAGATTGCCGATAGGGCCTTGGAGGCCCTGGCCCAGATAGCCACCGACCAGCTGCATGCCCGCGGCATGCGCGTCTGGGATGCCAATTGCGAGGCCGAAATCTGCGAGGTGGTCAATCAATTGATCCTCTCCGAGAATCTGCCCTCACGCATAGCGGCCGTTATTGCCCAGACAGACGGGCGGATGAACGCAGAGGAGGCGACACTCGTCGAAAATGCTGTCGCCAATAACCTGCAGGCGACGGCACGTGCCCTCCAACAGCGGAATGCAGGAGATGCAAAAAGACGATCTGCCGCCGGAGGAGCTGCTCACGCGCCAATGTCACCCATCCAAAAGGTTTTGGCCAAGCGACGAGCTGCCGCCCAGATTGCTGAGCACTTGCCGCCGTTGAGCGTCATCACCAATAAGGTTGAAAAGATTTGTCATTTGGCCGAAGACTTCTTCGCGGAGTGGGGGGCCACCAACTCACTCGATCGAATCGAAGGATTTCATGTGGGATCATTCTTGGCCGAACTGAAGGCCATGTCCTCACCGAAGGTGGCCGAAGGGTTGCAAAACCATCATGCCGGGATCGACGAAATAATGTCTTTGCTGAAGAACTTTAATGATTTGACCAAGTTGGTTAACGAACAGGAAGAATCAGGGCCCGAAGAAGGAGCCGAAGAAGGAGCCGAAGAAGGAGCCGAAGAAGGAGCCGAAGAAGAAGCCGAAGAAGGAGCCGAAGAAGGAGCCGAAGAAGAAGCCGAAGAAGAAGCCGAAGAAGGAGCCGAAGCAGGAGCCGAAGAAGAAGCCGAAGAAGGAGCCGAAGAAGGAGCCGACGAAGGAGCCGAAGCAGAAGCCGGAGCAGGGCCAGGAGCACGCCCAAGAGGAGTAGTCGAAAAGGCCGATAAGAACGTTGGCACAGACGGAGATATACGTTTGTGGATACCCGTGTCTGTACCCAATTATTGTGCCGCCAAGAAGGCTGAACAGCTCCGTCAGTTGGCCGCAGCTGAGATGGAAAAGCGGAACGAACAGGAGCAGGCCACGGACGAATTTAATAAGCAATCCTTTTACACAGAGCTGGCTGTCCAGGAGGAAGCCAAAGCTGCGCTCAATCAAACGGTCTATATGCAGACAGATCCCCAGATGATGCCTGCTGAAGATTTGGAAGACCTTTCCGAATCGTTTGCCGGCCTCTCCGTGGGGTCCCTGGAGCCAATACAGGAGGAGGATGAATTTGGACATTGGGCCGAGCGAATGATGTCCATGGTAAGGGATCTGGATGATTTGGGTAACTTGGTAACGGATGCCATTCACGGCTATCGCGCCATACAGCAATCAGCCGCTGAGAACGCCGAAGAGATTCGTCTGTTATCCGAAGCCGACAACGCCGTGGAGCAGAACCAGCCAGAAGATATAGCAGATCCGATTCCGGAAATACAATCACCTTTCGAGGAACAGAAAGCCCGTATACTGCAGCTGGAGGAACAAGTAATTAATGGGCTCAACGCACCGATGCCGAACGCCGTGCCGGAGGATATCCCGGAGATGAATGATTTGGCAAAGAACGCCACCGATGATGGAGATGAAATGATGTTTTTCGATACCACCAACGATGACGGACAGCCGAAGGAATGGTATGAAAATGGAGAGAAGGTAACCGGCAAATACTGGCCAATGATTGTGGGCGGCACCTTTGTCTGATGGAAGCCCAAGAAAAGAGAACGAGAAGCGGAAACGGAAACGGAAGCGGAAGCGGAAATGGAACAGGAGAAAGCAAAATTTGGTTTAAAAAGGAAAGGAAGATCGGTTGAAATTTAAAAGTAAATGATATTTGGCACAAAAACATACGAAGCAAAGCAAAAAAAAGAAGCAACAAAAAAAAGAAAAAAAAAACGCAAGAAACAAGGCAAAAAACAAAGCAAGAAGCAAGGAAAAAAGAAAAAAAAAAAAGAAAAAAAAAGGAAAAAAGCAAAAAAAAATAAAAAAAAAAGAGCTAAACAAAAAAGCAAGAAGCAAAGCAAAAAAACCAAAAAGAAAGCAAGAAGCAAAGCAAAAAAATAAAAGAAAGCAAACCAAAAAAAAAACAAGAAAGCACAAAAAAAAACCAACAAAAAAAAGCAAGAAGCAAAGCAAGGAAAACAAAAAAAAAAAAAAAAAGGAAAAAAGGAAAAAAAAAAAAGAGCTAAACAAAAAAAAAAGCAAGAAGCAAAGCAAAAAAACCAAAAAGAAAGCAAGAAGCAAAGCAAAAAAAAACAAGAAAGCACAAAAAAAAACAAGAAAAACAAAAAAAAACCAAAAAAAAAAGCAAGAAGCAGAGCTAAAAACAAAGCAAGAAACAAGAGGCAAAGCAAAATAAAAAAAACGCAAGGAGCAAAGAAAGAAACGAGAAGCAAAGCAAAAAACAAAGCAAGAAGCAAAGCACAACAATGAAGACACAAGGAAACCAAAAACGAAGACACAAGGACAACAAGAATGAACACCAAAGGACAACAAAAACGAAGACACAAGGACAACAAGAATGAACACCAAAGGACAACAAAAACGAAGACACAAGGACAACAAGAAGGGAACAAGAGCATAAGAGCTTCTATGCAGAAGAGCAGAGAAGCCGGGCGAAGAGCAGAGAAGCCCGGCGAAGAGAAGCACCGAGGGACAGGGACAGCATCGACAGACAGCAGACAAAAAAGCAGAAAAGAGAGCGACCAGACGAGACCTTCGGTCGCCTTCGGTTCGGTCAATGTTTGGCGATGCGTCTTTTGTATTCAATTTTTTTTTCTTTTTATTATTTTAGCAGCAAAATTTTGGGCTCTTCTATGGATTTGATTAGTTGATTTGTATTTCCCTTTCGATAGAATGTATGTATAACGTAATAAAATAAAAATGTCCAGTTCCCTCAGTCAGATGCTCTTCTTATATATTTCCCATAGGACAGGGTCCCATGGCCCAGCTTCTTCTCCCTCCCACACTCCGGACTCCTGTCACCTTCTCTCATCCTCTCCTAGTCCATGGGCCTTCTCCTTGGTCACTTACTCTCATCCTCTCCTAGTCCATGGGCGTAATTCAGAAACGCCTCTCTGGAAACTCTAACCGACTGCCGACTGCCGCCGTTTCGTTGGCGGTGTCGGTGACGCCGCCCCGCCTAGCAACACAGCTCTGGTCTGGGCTCTCATCGATTAACGGTTCTTGGCCGGTCACGCGATCCCATGTACGCGCTGGATCGCTGCCCGGCCGCCTCGTTCTCTCTCGTGCGAGCGTTCGTTTGTCGTCGTTGCTTTGCCGACGTCGCGCGGTCGTTGCTGCCGACGTCGCAGTTGGCCGCGCTGTCGCCTTAACCCTTAGGCAGGCCTTCTGGTTTTTTGTTCTGCTTTTGCAGCCAGTTGTCGAAAATTGATTTATTCGATATTCTGCTCTGAGCAGTTAATTTTATTCTTGCTCAGAGATTGTTCGCAGAAATAATTTGAGCGCATGAAAATTCATGAAAAATTAATTAAACCCACATTTAAGGGAAAGTATTGCCCCCAACCCCCGTTTGTGGGGCACGAAACTAATCTGAGCCTCGAAAAATGTACGAAAATTAATCTGCACATAAATTAAGCATTAAAATTTAATATATTTGTTTATGGGGCTGCTGCTGCTGGAGGAGGGGCGGTGAGGCATGCCGGATGTGGCATGTAGAGCGATGTATGGCTATGTGTGTGCCGGTTCTCTCTCTCTCTCTCTCTCTCTCTCTCTCTCTTAGCGGTAATAAATAAATAGCGAAAAGGTAATAAAACAGATAACGGTGGGGAAAAAAAGGGAGAGAAACAAGGCGGAAAAAGTGCTACAAGAGGGAGAGAGAGAGTTTGTGTGGCAGGAATCTGCCTGCAGCAGCAGCACGAAAGGAATCTGCCACGCGTGTGGCAAAAGCATTGCGCGCAGAGAGGCACTGAAGCGGTGAAAGGGCGCCATGCCCTCGGAGCGGAGCAATCTGCACAACTGGTCGCCCATTATCGTATTAGCACATGCCACCACTGATTATTATGAGGTGGGAACACTCCTCCTCCTGCTCCTGCTCGTGCTCCTCGTTCTGCTACTTCCTTTGTCTGTGGATGCGTATAATTAATTTTTGACACAAACACACACATATCCCACCGCTCCCCAACCAAAAACCCATTTATGTTGGAGAAACAATAGAGATATGGTGGCCTTAACCCCCAACACCCCCCCCTGGCCGCCCCCAGAGGGGCAGACAATTTGTAAAGAGCATGAGAGATGCGATTTCCTACCCTTAAACACAAAAATACCATTCAAATATCACATACATATGTATTTGTACGCATTTTTCACATGAAACTAGAACCAAATGCATCGGGGAATTCACGATAAACAGGGCAAATGACAGACAACAATGAAAAAGTATCGCATAGCCAAAGTTTATGCCAACTTTTGGGTTAAAATATCTTTCTTTGAGTCAATAAATCATATAATTATATGATCATATGATCATATAATCATATACCGCCCATAAAGGTCAATAAAAGCCCATTTCCATATACTTTTATTCATTGAAACTTAACTAACTTAACTTTCAACTGAAAACCTATGAAAATAAGCAAAAATTGACATTTTCGGTATTTTTTGGTATTTTCGGTATTTTTTTGTCGTATTTTCCTTTATTTTATTCCCCCATAAACAAGATTTGTTCCCCTACGTCTTTCTATCATTTTGAACTATTTGAAAAAAATCCAAAACTAAAGTGTGCTCTATATGGGTTAATGGTATATTTTTCAACTTTTTTTTAGCACGGAATTTGGTAACGTAACGGAAGTTACTTACGTCGAGTGCCTCCGTGGCTTAAAAAACTTGGAAAAATAAGGCCTAGTACTCCATATATTATCATCATAAATCATAAATCATAAACCAGGTCATATTTTGGCTTATATATTTCAAGCCGTCTGTCCGATTATACCCACGATTTTGGTGAATTATAGATCTACCCAGTATTTTTTTTTTGTGGCAATTTTTTTCGTACCGCGTGGCCCTCTGGTTTTTCCTGTAATTTGCCAATGTAACTGCTGCTGTTTTTGATGAACTCTTGAGGGCGAAAAAAACTATGGGCTGTGCAAATGTTTGATGATTGTATTGTCATTGATATTTATCAGCAATAATTCATGAAAATATGAAACTCCATTTGGCTGACGTTTTTGCTCCTTTGAATGGAATGGAATGGAATGGAATGGAAGATGGATGAAGATGAATGGATGGCCCCTAAGAACAGGCGGCCTCATTAGGCTGAGTGAAAAATAGTCCTTCCGCCAGGAGGACCCACACCTTCACAGAGAAGGACACGGAGACACATTCATTCGCCTTTGTGCTGGCTGTTTGTCGCCTCTAATGAAATACGCATTATTTTTGGGGGACAGATGGAGAATTTAATATCTGGCTACAAGGATTTGCCCCATGCCCCAACGCCCCCCCCCCCCTTCCCCTCCAGTGCCCTGTCCCTCATGTGTGTCGTGTGGTCGTCGCCTGTCATCCGCAAACGATGTCATTCATTTTCAGCCCCACACTCTCCACACATTGATCCACTTGGCAATGGAGTCCTTGTGGGCGTTAGGAATGGGAATGTGTTGCGAACATGATTCAAAGGACATGGGGTCCGGTCGGGTCCGGTCGGGTCCTAGGCGGAGGAGGCTTAAGTGTTTATTAATATCGACTCGTGTGAACGGGGACATGTGTTGTTCCTAAATTGACTTTGACCCCCCCCCCCCCCCCCCCCCCACTTCACCCTCCCCGGTAACTGATAAGCTCCACCACTCCAGGAAGGACCTCAAGGCCACACCACAGCGCACCGCATCGCACCGTCTTGTAGTTATTGTAACAAGCCCATTTGTGATTGTTATCGAAATGGCCAACAGAACAGGCAACGGACAACAGTTGGCCACACTGCAGGGGCACAGGGGCGGGGAACTCTCTCTCTCTCTCTCTCTCTGAGCTGTCCAAAGCAGGTCACGGGGTCATGCGATAAACTTCGTTTTCTTGCAGTTCCTTTGAGTGCTCCTTTCAATTATTGTAATACCATTTTTAGGGACAACTTCCTATATCAATATTTTCTTAAAGGAATTACTCTCCGTCGTTGTCTTTCACTGCCAAAAAAAAAAAGAAGAAGTTCCTTTTAGAAAACTTTCTTACGTTCTCTTCCGCTTCTTTCTCTCGCTCTGTCGGCAACCTGGAAATCCGACTGCAGCATTCTTTCAGTCCTTGGCAGCACTGCCAGGTACACACACACACACACACACACACACACACACACTCGGTCTCACGTTCCTTTGTGTGGAACGTAATGTCTTTATATTTTTTTGGAAATTGCTTTGCTATTAAAACAAAATAAACGACGCGACGCGCAACTTATAAATTTTGTTTTGGAAAATCAAGTGAAATAAATGCAGTGCCAGATGTGTGGAGAAAACGAAAACACGAAGAAAAATACGAAAAAGGAATAGCTCTACAAGGAGAGAAGAAGCTACTGGACACTGGATACCCTGTAATGGGCAATAGTTGGCTCTCAGACCACACATAACCTTCGAGAACATAACCTTGGAGACAGCGACGGCAATGAAGATATTTAATCCGAAATCTGCCACCATTTATGGGCACCTCTTCTGCTTGCAAGCAGTGCGGAAAGTTCTTCTGCCTAATCGATAGAGTGGGAGGGAGAGCAAGAGCGCTCGTACGATTGCTACACGACTCTCTCCATCACCACACGACTGTCGCAGTTCTTTGCACGCTGATAATCAAGAGACGTCGTCACCGAATCTGCTCTCGTTCGAGGACCATCCGTTTGTTGTATGCATCTCTGAGCGCCGGGAGAGAGTGCATGGTCCTACCCACAGCGGACGAGGTCACCGAAGAGCTTCTGGCACTCCTGAATTGCAGTGTAAAAAGCCCATTAATGGTCCACAGATCTGGCCAGACTTGAGCCATAGCAAAGCCCTCTAGAAATCAGCAAAAACCTCAAAGAAACCTTTAGAATTTTCGCACATTTCCCAACAAAAAAGGATTGTAGATGCCCGTATACCCCATCGGAAAAAAAAGGGGTATCGAAACTAAAGAAAAACGATTCGAAAACAAAGCTCCAGACAAAAATCCTGGGCTCCCCCCCCGCCACCCCCTTACAAACGAAGGGGTTTTTCTGCAATAAATTCAACTTTTTCCGGGGCATGCCACACACACACACACACATGGCCATAAATAGCAATGCAAGAAAAAAACTTTGCGCCCCCTTCTCGAAGATTTCTGTTGGCCTTTTTTTTGGTATTTTGTGCGCCATTCAGCGGTTGCGACTTTTAATTTTATTGCCAAGGTCCGAAACGGGGTTCTGGGGGGGGAGGGGGGGGGGGGGGGGTTCCCCCAATATATGATAGCCAATTGTCTGTCTGGGGGTGGCTTTCGCCCCCCAGCTAATAATTGGCCAGGGGTTGTACCCAAAGGGGCATTTCGCTTCACTTCTTCATATATCACCAGGGACCAGCCCGAAATTCGGGGGTTTTCTGTGCGGTATGCCTCTGATTGCTTCATAAATAATTGCAGGCTGACTTCCTTTGGGGGCTGGGGGGCTGGCGATCTATTGGAACGAGCCATGCATCACCGAACAGCCGAATGCTATATGTCTGTACAAAATAAAGCAAATATCGAAAGAATGCAAGCGAGTTCCCACGAAATAATACGCTTCAAAGTATAATTGACGAACTCTTATTTATTTTCCACTCTGGCATTTATGGGAATGATGGCTGTTGTGTCTTCCTTGTTGTGTCCACAAATGTTCAGTTTCTACTTCTTGAGGATTGATGGCATCCATGGTGTCTCAGTGTGTTTCGGTGTGTATCATTGTTGGCCTAGGGAGATCATATGAAAATCGATTGGCCAGTTGCGATGGGGTCTAATGTGGGCTTACCTGCTGGATCCTGGCGTTAGGCAGGATTCCTCCTCTGGACAACCAGCGCCAGCAGACGGACGGCGGCGCTGAAGAAGGCGAATAGCAGCACCGCACGGATATTGTCCATAGACTGCTGCTCGGGGTTCCCCACGGGCTTTACCTTGGGCTTCCCCTTGGTCTTCCCTTCGTCCTGTTTGATTGGATCGCCCATGATTTGTACGAGGATCTTTGAAAATTTTCGTGTGTAAAATTTTAAGCAATTTCTAGCTCTGAAAGAGATCTATGCCTCAAAAATGTTGACTGGAATGTAACGGCCTCCTTCTCACAACTGTACAAATGTGATGGAGAATTTTGTATGAATGAAAACGAATAGAGGGGTTTTTCCATAGGTTTATACATATATTTCTATATTTGTGCCGAGAGTAGAAAAAGCGGAAACATTGACTTTAAATTCTATTTCATATTTTCATATGTACATATGTACCTATATTAAATATATTTCCTACAAATTGTAATGTCTTTTGAGTATAAAAACATTTATGTTTAGATCAATGTGGGATTTGGGACAGAGTCCACAGTGCAGAGAGACTCGAAGTAGCCGAAAAATTAAAGCAGAATCGATGGAGGGGTTCCTGAGAGGCAGAGGCTCTCAATGAAATACATACGTAAACCCCAAAGCCAGTGCTTTGTTTCCTTAGTCCCAAATACCTTCCATTGCCTAGCTAATATTTAGCCCATAGTCCATAGACTATAGTCAGCGGTGCAGCAGTAGAGCAAAACCCAATTATTGTTTGTCATTTGCACTGCCCTCTGAACCACATATATACATAGTACATGTACACACATACATACAAGCAGACGAAACGAAATGCCCTGAAGTACCAGCCGTGTGCGATGACGAATGTCGTCATCTTTTGTTTCTTTCTTTTCAGCGCGTGCCGAACTTAATTCGGTTCTGCCGACCGAGCGCAGCAGAATAGAACTTCGTTTTTGTCTTTTTTGCGCCGACCGAGCGCAGTCGGCCACTGCATTAAGAAATAGTAACAACAACAAAAGAACGGCAGAGTTCGCAGTCGTCGCGGCCGAGTGTGACGCGCTGCTGTTGTATTTGAGAGAGCGCGATCTAAAAGGTATTGCGGAAGGAGAGCAAAGCGGCGTCGAGCCATGCAAGAGAGAGGGAAACAACACCGCGACTCACTGCTTTGGCTTTCGCTCTCGCTCTCTCGATCCGTCGCGTTCTCGCTGGCCTTCGGCCGCCTGCCCTTGAATTTTGTCTGTCTTTCTTCAAACCACACACACCACGCACCTTTTTGCTGCTTTGTGCTCAAGTGCTTTGAGTGAATCTCCACAGGAAACGAGTGAAAATTGGAGATAATGTACTTATTGCAGGGTGAGATGTTTCTTTTTTGTTCTGTTTTGGAAATTGATTTCTGTGTCTTAATTGAAAATATGTCAATCCACTCCCCCCCCCCCCCCCCACACTGGCATTTTTCATTTTAATTTTCACATTAATTTTCAATTCAATTTCGCCTTCGAATTGTCGTATCAATTGAAGGCGAAGGCGAAGGCAAGCTGCTGCTGCCACCATTTTCCTGTGTCATTGATGAATGCCTTGGCAAAAGTTTTCCATTTTCCAGCGCTTTCTTTTATTTTCCATTTTATTTTCCACATGAAATGCAGGAATTTGATATTTATTTATTATGTGTGTGTGTGTGTGTGTGTTTTTCTAAGGATTTGTCCCCGCTTTTCCTTGACTTTTAAGGCTGCTGAAAATTCATTTCGTCGTGTGGGGGGGAGGAGGGGGGAGACTTTTGGGGGTCAAAGGAAAGTTTTCCCAAGCTGATTAGCCCCGGCCAAGAGGTGGTGGGCTTAGCCTTTGTGGTTAAGCGGAGGTCCTGCCTGCTGGCTTTTGATTTCTCTCTCTCTCTCTCTCTGTGTGTGCGTGTGTGTGTGTGTGTGTGTGTGTGTGTGTGTGTGCGTTATGTAAATTCATTAAGCTGCTGCCTAAGCTCCGACTTACCTGCCCCCCCCCTCCCAAAGCTCAAAGAAACAAATTGATAGCCAGAGAGTGGGAGAGGCGCCACACCCCCACCCCCCACCCCCCACCCCCTCTACAAAAACTTTTCATTATGCATGTGCGCCACACATAACTTTTGGGGAAAACAAAGAGAGAGACAGAGAGAGAGAGGGGGGGTGGGGGTGGGGCACAAACTTTGTGGCATAATTAAAATGTTTATGCGTTTAATTGCAAATGAATTCGAGGCCAAAAGTTGCACGAATGCGTGCGCGACGACTGCTGCAACAATTGACAGTGGGATGCTCCAACCCCCCCCCCACCAACACCCCCTCCGCCAACAACCCCCTACCATATCCCATGACAATTGTTGTATCTCTTCGGATTGCTCCCTTCTGCTAGATAATTGCTTTTCTCTCCGCTCAAGTGGAAAATTGTGTTTAAAATTTAATCAAGAGTGGAGCCTTAGCCTTTCCTTTCCTTTCCTTCACTCCTTCCATGCTCATATGATACGTGATATGAAACACCAATAACCCGATGCCCTGCTTCCCTTCGAACGGGTCCGACCACAACGGTCTGGGGAGGGGGGGGAGCGGGAAAGACATTAAACAGCTTCATTACCTGCAAATTTCCAAATCAAATACAAGGCAAAAACCGCAAGCTTAGCTTACCAAAAACTGGTCACAACTATGCCTGGATGGATCCAAGGACGAACCCAAAAAGCACACGACAAAAGGAGAAGCTCCTACTCTCCTCCGAAAATTGATTAGCCCCCCCCCTCCACCGCCACCGCCACGCCCAGCCCCAATGACAAGGAGACGACTCCATAACAAGTCGAAGAGCATAAACGATGTTTGTCCCCAGCTCGGATTTTGCTGACAAGACGGAAAGTGTTGCGGTTAATGCCTTGTGGAAATCTTCAGCCCGACAGCTTGCCTGCGGCTCCCTGGCTCGGGTGTGCCACACAAAAGGGAGTAGTTTCATGAATATTGGAGCCTCACAGACATTGTGGCTTATCGTGTGGCTTCTGTGGGCCACAAGAGAGACAGCAGGCCTCATTAGGCGCCCACTTCTCAGAGATCACATCCAGTAGGGCACCTGGCCTTCCAGCTAGAGACCTGCATCCATCCAAACCCTCGCCCAAAACGCACTCTAGCGACGTTTGAGCCGAAAATTTCGGTTTTTTCTCGCGCTCACTCTCCATGAGGTAAAGTGAAGCGCTTTCGAGGGCCTTCTTTCGGTTTTAGATCATCCATTTGGATACCTTTTGGTTGCTAGGTCAAGGAAGTAATACGTATAAAAAGCATAACTGGCGAACTCTTATTTATTCATTGGAATGATGGCTGCTGTGTCTTGCTTGTTGTGTCCACAAATGTTCAGTTTCTACTTCTTGAGGATTGATGGCATCCATGGTGTCTCAGTGTGTCTCAGTGTGTTTCGGTGTGTATCATTGTTGGCCTAGGGAGATCATATGAAAATCGATTGGCCAGTTGCGATCGGGTCTAATGTGGGCTTACCTGCTGGATCCTGGCGTTAGGCAGAATGCCTCCTCTGGACAGCCAGCGCCAGCAGACGGATGGCGGCGCTGAAGAAAATGAACAGCAGAACTGCACGTTGGATATTATTGTCCACAGGCGGCTGATCGGGGTTCCCCACGGGGTTCCCCACGGGCTTCACTTCGGGCTTCGCCTTGGGCTTCCCCAAGAGCTTTCCCTCGGGCTTTACCTTGGGATTCCCCTCGGGCTTTACCTTGGGATTCCCTTCGTGCTTCCACAAGAGCTTTCCCTCGGGCTTTACCTTGGGATTCCCTTCGGGCTTCACTTCGGGCTTCCCCTCGGGCTTCGCCTCGGGCTTCCCCAAGAGCTTTCCCTCGGGCTTTACATTGGGATTCCCCTCGGGCTTTACATTGGGATTCCCCTCGGGCTTTACATTGGGATTCCCTTCGTGCTTGGGCTTCCCTTCTTCCTGTTTGATTGGATCGCCCATGATTTGTACGAGGATCTTTGGAAATGTTCTTGTGTAAGCTTGTGTTCTTTAAGCAATTTCTAGCTCTGAAAGAGATCTATGCCTCAAAAATGTTGACTGGAATGTAACGGCCTTGTTCTTTTTCAAAAACTATGGAACCTTATGGATTCGAATTTGTTCTCAACGATATTTTGGGTAGCTCCTGGGATCCCATCAGCGGATGGATAGCTCTCTCTCCCCTCTCCCTTTCCCCTCTCGCTGCCAATCAGTGTCGCCTGGAGGCCGGCCCCGAGGCTCGGTTCTTCTGGTTCATTTAATGCAATTTACTGTCATCGTCACCAAATTTACCGCCGTATCCATTCTTCCTTTTGTTTGCTTTTCTTACCCCCCGCGCCCAGCGATAGGATCTGGTGTATTGTTGTCTAGTGTCCTGTGTGCGTCCCCCAGGTGTCTGTCCAACCAGAACCACCCCCCCCTATCTTACAGCTGCAACAAAAGCCACCACCTGCCAGGATAACGCAGAACGTCTTGGAAATGAATTCATCCCTGGGGACATTCCGACAGCGCCAAAAAAAAAAACAAAAAATAAAATTAGTTTACGGGCTTGGCTTTTCTCTTTTTTCTTTTTTTGGGTCAAAAGCATTTCCTTGATACGCCGAGAGGTGCGTGGGGAACGCCATTGGAAAAGTGTCTGATTTGCGTGTGTTTTTCTTGCAGGCAAACACTTGACATCCATCCAGGAATCAAATAAACCGAAGGTAAGTGCAGCCACAAATTAACACACAACAACACAAGGAGCCACCGTCGAGTGGCACGAGGCAGCGGCACGGCATTCAAGGCCTTCTTTTCCACGAAAACTGTCTGCCACTCGAGGGGCTTCGATGCCTCACTTAAGCCACTTATTCGCCATAGAGCCAAGGAGAAGCCAAGCCGAATGGGGAGATACCCTGTAAAGGAGGGGGAAAGATCTTGCAGGAATCGCTTGAGGGTATGCTCTCTCCCTCTTGTATCTTGTATATCTCATCCTCATTCTCATTCTCATCCTCCATTCAGTCACTCAAAAGCCAGTCAAGATTTCGACGCTTAACGAGCTGCATTTGGCGCTGCTGTCGGGGGGGCATGCCACCCCGCCCTCCCCACTCCTGGTGTCGTCTATCTATCGGTGTATGCTAAGTGAAATTTAATGCCCTGGAAAATTGTACTAATATTTATTTTGGAATGGAATGGCAAGACCCTTTTTCTCTCTTATCCTTTGGGCAATAATTTAATTTGCAATTTGTGGCATACAGATACAGATACAGTCCCAAAAAGGCACCTACCTCCTTCGTGTGCAATTGCAAAATGATATTACCAGAATACCAGGGAGTGGTGGAAGGTACAGTTTGTACACGTGTAGAAGGCATAAAGTACACATAACCTCGAAAAAATGGTCAAATGATCATTGCAATCCAGCGTTTCCTCCTTTAAACAAACAGAAGGACGGACGGACAGACGGACGGACGGACAGACGGACGGACGGACAGACGGACGGACGGACAGACCCCACAGACAGACGTGCTTTTCGAGTGCGGTTTTGGCCACGTTTCTGGCTGCCTCTGTGCCTTCTGGCTAATGGCCCATGGAAACGTGCCTCAGTGCGCGCTGATTTGATGGCATTTCCTAGGCATTTCCAAACGAATGAAATGAGCAAACATTTTTATGAACTTCACTTCGTTCGCAACACCAAAAGTATACCAAAAGTCAGGTATTTGAAGGCTTAAACGTCACCCAAAAAATTTACCAAAGAAACGTGTTTCAGAGTGGCCTTTTCGGGGGTTTTCAAAAGGAAATATCAATCAAAGGCAGTCCCTTTGGAGAAAGCTCTTTCCAGTGTTCCAAAGGGCTGCATTTTCCAGGAAATTAATGGAAATATTATGGAAGTATTTTTCAGGGAGGTCTTTTCGATTGATTCAAGGTGAGTATCTATATAGATATATATCGTATAGCTTGGTTTTAGGGAATTGTTTGCTTTTGTTGCATTGTTTTTGACTTTTTGGGACCGACTCATAAATCAGGCTTAAGGAGGGGGTAGGGGGTAGGGGGATGGTGGAGGGGGAGTAGGGGAAGGAGGAGTAGGAGAAGGAGGAGGAGTAGGAGGAGGAGTAGGAGTAGGAGTAGGAATAGGAGTAGGAGAAGGAGGAGGAGGAGAAGGAGTAGGAGAAGGAGGAGGAGTAGGAGGAGGAGTAGGAGTAGGAGTAGGAGTAGGAGTAGGAGTAGGAGTAGGAGTAGGAGTAGGAGTAGGAGTAGGAGTAGGAGTAGGAGTAGGAGTAGGAGGAGGAGGAGGAGGAGTAGGAGTAGGAGGAGGAGGAGGAGGAGGAGGTGGAGTAGGAGTAGGAATAGGAATAGGAATAGGAGTAGGAGTAGGAGAAGGAGTAGGTGTAGGTTGCAACAAGTCGTACGGCAGCTACAACCTCTCTCCTGCCCCACCCCTTCGCACCACCCGTTGGCCCAAAAACCAATTTGGCTACCAAGAAATTTCCATTAAGAAGCGAATGGAGTGGCCGATGCGAGACCAATCCCTGGGGTTCATTAAGGTCGAAGCCCCGCAAGGTATTTTTCCATGGCTGTGCACTCAGAGCAAGGCGAAACGCCTCCTGCCACTCGTGCCCCGGCCCGGCCCGGCCCTGCCACGTAGCTCCACCATTTTCTACCATTTGTTGCAAATTGCAAGGGGCATGATGCATTTCACAAATGCATTACGTATACGCGCGCGTACTCGTATTCGCGATGCAATCACGCCGAAAATTCGTTTCCATATATTACACACACACACATGCAACAAGAGTGCTGTGTGGGGCGGTGTGTTGCATGTGGCAGCTAGAGTAAAATGCTTTTGATTGTTCCGCCCCAAACCCCAAAACCTCCCCCCCTCCCCCCCGCAGTTATTTATATTTGTATTGACTGCATTTTTGGTTTATGTTGCACGCGCCGCAAAAGAGGGTGTGGCGGCTCCATTTCGTTAGACGTGTGCAACCGCCCCCGCCCCCTCCCCCGCCCCCGCGGACATGCCTTTTCGAGGGTACCACAACTTCCATCAGAATGCGCTGAAAAATACTTTCCCAGATACATTTCCCCCCAAAAAAGATACCCTATCTTTTGGTTTGCAAAAACATACTTCAAATGCACATTTTTCCGGTGTGTTTTTTTTTGGGCTCGGTTTTTCGGTGGAAAGTTTACATCGCTTTGGCATTGTGTTGTGTAGAGGGAGTCCTGTTTTTTTTTTTTTGTTTTGGGCAAATTGGTTTACAGAGAGTGCGCTCTCTCTCTCTCTCGCTGGCTCTGTGCAACAACTAGTACCCATCCGCCCTCCCGCCTGGCCCGAAATTCGCGTTGTTTTCGCTGTTGTGATTCCTGGCATAATATTTATACTCGCTCCGGTCCGTGCGCCAGTCCCTGGCCCTGCCCCGTGCTCCAGTCCCTGCCCCGTGCGCCAGTCCCTGGCCCTGCCCCGTGCGCCAGTCCCTGCCCCTTCTCCATGCTCCAGCCCCATGCCCGTTTTTTTCAGCATATTGTGATTCACTCAGGCTCTCGCTTTTCTCTCTCTCTATTCTCTGGCCCTCTTCCCCCCCCCCGTTTTGGGAAATCATTTGTTAACCAGGCGGTTTTCGCACTTCCTGTTTGCATAATAAAAATACAGGCATCCCTTGCAGGATATTTGCTGGGGGTATATCAAAAGGAAAACATAGAAAAAGGTGTTGGGGAGAGAATTTGAGGCACCAAAATGATCTTTCTTTTCGGTTCTCAATCCGAAAATTCAGATATCTTTTAAGTAGGGCCGGAAAATGCCTGGGAAAACATTTCCATTGAATACTTGTGAGTTTTTGTGGTTGCAAAAAATTCTTGAAATTTCCGAATTACAGCGCATCGATTGTTGGAAAAGTAAGCCACAAAATAAATAAACATAAAAAAGGGACAAAGGGAGAGAGAGGAAGAGAGGGGGGACAAAGCCCTGTGGAAGGGGGGAACCGCAGCGAATTGGAAAAAGTCAAATGTGTGTGTGTGTGTGTGTGTGTGGGAAAGCTTTCAAATGACAAACATTTCAATTAAATTCCAATTTGAATAAATTCCTAGCAACCAAAAACAAACTTCATCTTCGCCCCCACCGCCCTCCGCGCATTTCCTAGAGAAAAAGTCCCAAATAAAATAAAATAAAATCAAATAGAAAGTGAAGGGGTGGGTCGCCGGGGGGGGGGGGGTGGTAGAAAGAGCAAACGGAATGTAACAAGCAGAAAATTACATCAGCGACGGACCGAAAGTCCGCAGAAGCAAACAGAAATGCCAAAAACAGAGCGGCAGTGGGCAGAAAAGGAGGCAAGAAGAGAGAGAGAGAGGGAGAAAGAGAAGAAAACGCACAAGGAGCATCAGAAACTAATTAAGAGAATTGCAATTGACAATGAAACGAGGGACTAGAGACGAGAGACGAGCGACGAGCGACGAGAGAGACGAGCGACGAGAGAGACGAGCGACGAGCGACGAGAGAGAGGAGCGACGAGAGGCGATAGAACCAGCGACGAGACTGTACTCCGCACGGAGTTGACTGCGACAGACAGACGGCGTCGCGACGACTTCTAGTCCCATAATGAGCTTCGGATTCGAACCTTGGACCCGCCCAGCCAGCCTCCATCCACCCCCCTGCAGTCACCTCCTCAAATTCAAAGCCGCAGCACTCGTCGATACGTTGTTCTACGATGCAACTCTGTGGCTGTGGCAAATAGAAAGCCAGATCGAAACGACTACCAGATGCTCATTAGCGATTGACGGCAGGAGCGCAGGGCAGGCCGAGGTGTGCTGCTGTATGACGCGTACTGGGTGTGGGTCCCAAAAGAAAAACTACTTATAAAAGAGGGAAACTAGACTGAAGGACACAGAGAGTTCTCCATAGAGAGAGTGCGAGAGTAAGCGGAGAAGCACTGAGTGGGAGTGGGCGTGGGGGGGGGGGAGGGGGGAGGGAGTGGGCGTGGGGACCTTCCTTCTATCGACCTCAATTCACGGGCGGCTTTCTGGAGCTTCAAATGAAATTGTAATTTTATACAAATCGCTGTCGCAATCGCCACAAGAAAAGTCGAGGGCCGATGGTTGGAAAGGAAAACTTGAGAGGGAAAACTGGTGGGGGGGGCACAGAGTGGGGAGGGGGTGTGGGGGGTAGTGGGGCATACGTGCCTCTGGCTTTCATGGAGTACTCTCGTTCTCCCCGCTCCCCTCTCCTCTCTCCTCTCATGTACGTGACAAACGAAAATCAACTATTTCCTATTTCCACCTTTAATTCTCGTTTCTCCTCTCCCACTCTCCCTATCTGCCACCCCCCTCCCTGCCCCACTGATGACCACAATTTGTAGTCATTGAGTGTGCCGCCGTCTCGAAGGAAACAGATTTCTCGGCACAAGGAGAGCAGAGAAAGAGAAAGATAATGAGAAAGAGAAGGCAGCACTCTACTACGAGTTCAATGAGAGAAAACGAGCCACTTGTGCTGTTCACTTAAATAGTTGCAAGTTAATTAAGTTAAAATATGGCTGCCAGGACTGGGGACTGGGGAAAGAGAAAGTGGCCAGTGCCTTGGAGTGTCGTCTATTAAATGAAAGTGCACGAAACTCCAAAGACAAACTCATCTTCTGATGACTTTCTTTCGCATGTGAATGTGTCCTGTCCAGTGCCATGTCCTCTGAAGTCCTTGCCCCTTGATGACTAATAGCCATAGATGTATTTAAGAGGCCAAACAGAG